CTCTCAGCGCTGTTCACGGTACGTCTGGACGTTAAAGTAAAGGATTTCTATTTGTTTCCGGTGAACCAGAAAAAAAAAAGGTAAAAAGGTAAAATAAGAACCATGTTCTGCACCCCATTGCGAGGCCGCAGCCATTATGTGACCCATTCGGATCCTGGCGTTGCATTGTTTCCTTCTGGAGCCCTTCAGAACCCCCCAGAACACATTTTATTATAATGAAATAAAGATATTGGGACTCTCGGCTCTTGGCATGGAGCTCCTTCTCTCCAATGTATCCTGAGAGCGCCCCCTGGAGGCCCCTTTATGTATGACGACTGCCCCGCCACTTCTATTATACATTCTGCGCAATCCGACTTTACACCCAACGCTCCCCGACCTTCTCCTCCTTCATATAAGCCATGAGAGTGACCCCGGTGTGTCTATTGCAGGACCTCAGCAGCAGAGATGTGAAGCGGGACCTCCACCTTGTCGTCCATGTCATCAGGATAGGTAGGTCATTCGACCAATTTCCTGTCTGTATTGAAAGACGTCGTCCTCTGATTGGCTGAGGACAGGATGAGCCTCGTCGGGGAGCCGTCGCTCATCACTCTCCGCTTCTCTTTTAGGCCGCATGCTGTTAAACGACTCCCGGAAGGGCCCCGCGCACATCCACTACCGGCGGCCCTACGGCTGCGCCGTCCTGGGCCTCGGGGAGGTGCTGCCGGCGCTGTGCGAGCAACGAGACGAGAAGGATTTTGTCCTGAAGGTTTACACGTGAGTACGAGGCGGGAAATCGGTTGTCGCTTCCTCCGATGCCCCCCAAAAGCCGATCGATCACTTGGGGGGACTTCACATGTAAAGATTGATTATACGGGATTTATATGGCGCCAACAGTGTGCGCGGCGCTGTACAATATAAGGAAGACATCACAATTATATGCAGAGGGGGGTGGGGAATGGAAGCCAGTGCAGGGATTGGCAGAGGGGGGTGGGGGATGGACAGCACAAAACCTCCTGAAACATGTTGGAGGCTTTGTATCTTGTTCTAAATCAGGCCGCTGAACCAGAGCGAGATATAAAGCCTCCAATGCCGTTATTATCCATTACCGGTCCTTTTATTACCTCATTTCATTCTCTGGATCCTATTTCAGCCCTGAAGAAGGGAGACCTTTGCCGATTTAGAAACGCGTCGGCTTTCCTTTAGTGATTGCAAGTAACATTTTATTCCGGACTTCTTCCGGTTGCCCTGAGAGACCATCAAATTAAAAGTCCTGGAAACAAACCAGAGCTGGCGGTCTCTATAAAATGTATTGCGTCATCCAGCGCTCCTTGACTTGAATTTGGGTGAGGGAGCTCCGGGGGGTACGGGATCGGCTGGTAGGAAGTACGGCTCCGAGGTGATCGGCTCGTATGATATAAATGCCTCTGGGAATCTTTGTCTTCTGTTTCAGGTGTAACAATGAGAACGAATGGTTCCAGGTCCATGAGAACATCATCCGTAAAACCAGCACCAAATACTCCACGCCGAGCTCCAACTACGGTGAGACAAATCTGCGCACAGAGCCGGAGACTTCGAGTCCTGCCATGGCTGGCTCCTTCTAAAAATGCCGTTTTCCTGGCTGTCATATCGATCCTGAGGATTTTGTCGTATGTGATCGGGTTGCCGCCGGTTCCGGATTCGCCTGGACGGTCCGGGGTTTTGAGACCAGCTGAATCCCAGACACAGCAGATACAGGACTCAAAACCCGGACTGTCCTGGTGGATACGGAACCGGCTGCAACGCTAGTATGGGATTGGCTGAGCTAGTGATCAATGAAACATTCCTGACCTCAGTTTGACTTCACTGGCTGCATGCTTCTCCTGGCTCAGCACAGACACAGCCAAGGCAACTAGCATTTTCAGAGTGAGGTCAGTGTTGTCAGCCCTCTAAAGAGAATGATACAAAGTACCTGTTGAAAGCATCAGATGGAAGCTGCCTTAAAGGAGAACTATGGGGTGAGGGGTTTTCCCCATAGTTCTCCTTAGGGTGACGGGAGGACACAAACTAGCGTCCTCCCGTCACCCTAGGCTCGGTATATAGGGAGCTACAGCTCGCCGTATACTGAGACGCCGCAGCCGGAGCGGATCCCGACATCGGTGTCGAGATCTGCCCAGCTGCGTGACTGACAGCTGGCTCCTCCTATCTAGAGGCAGAGCCAGCTGTACCCGCCCCCTCCCCCGTCCGTTCCGCCAGTCAGCGCTGGAGGATCGGAGCGGGGAGGGGGGAATCCAGCCCCTCCCCCTGTCACGGCAGAGAGCAGTGACAGGATCGAGAGGTGAGCGAACCCGGTATGTGTTCGCTCACCTCCCGATCTACTGAGCCGACCTGTGACAGTCTCATTGTCACAGGTCGGCTGGAACTATGAGGTGAGGGAAAGGAACCCCCCCCCCCCCCCC